GGCTGCGTTTTCTTTATCCATTTTGTGACTCCATCAAAACTGCGGTCTTGGGATTGTGATGCAAATGAAACACCGCAGTAGTCTAACGCACACTTGCTGGTGTGTTTTCCCCCTTCTGTCCTCAGTCTGTGAATCGTGACATGCCCTGGGACAGTTAGGGCTGCTGAGGACGTGTAGGCCTCCTTCCCCTTCTCCTTTTAGGTAAACCGAACCAGACGCACCCGCAGCTGGTTTAAGCACATCCTCTTGCCCTCCACCTCTAAAGCACGCAACAGACCTGAGTCACTACTTCACATTAATATCCACAAATACCCCACTCCATGGTCGCATGATGGTGAAGAACGAATGACCACACTGCGTCTGAGATATCACTGGGTTTTTAAAATAATTACTAATCTGTGTGTCCTCTCACATTATTATTATATATTCTGTGAATGAGTTTACATACTGTGGAGCTCCAGAACCAACTGAAGTGTAAAAGATTATCAGATGAGTCAACTTATAACTCAGTATATCAATAAGAATTATTTTAGGTAAATAATTAAAATAGATGGTAAAATGCATCTGAAGCTTTTTATTTCTCCCCTAATCGCCATTTAGTTGATTTAAATAATTCATTAGCTAGTGTTTTTTGTTTTGTTTCTTTGGTCTCAGCACACGTCATGTGTCTGTTGTCAGTGTTCTCCAAGCAACAGCTGCCATTATTTACCATATTTCCAATTTTCCTAGTGCTCACGTGAGAAGCACAAGCATTGGTCCATGCTGGGAGTGTTAGTCTTAGCTTAGCGGCTAAATTGATTTAGCTACTGATACAAGAGTTTATACAGTATAATATATATACATGTATGATATAAGATGTACATATATATATCCATGGTATGTGGACCAGTACCTGCACTGGTGTAGTTTTATAATGAAATTTAGCTGCGGCTAGGTAGCTAGCTGAAAGGCTAGGATTGCACTAGCAGGAGTCAGAGGAACCTGATTCCCCCCCCCCACAGATTATCTGTCTCATGTTCTACTGTCAGGATATAGTGAAAGTTTCAGCAAATATTACAACATTTCTTTTTATAAAAATAACCACCTGCAGCTTTAATCAACTGATATGATTTTAAAGGAGAACCATAAAGCCATTTCTATTTGTTTTTACACACAATTTAAATTATTTACCTAACAGTATTATTTATTGATGTATGTAGTTCTATTTCTGACTCGTCTGATAATCTTTTACTGCCTTTTGTCATAGTCGGGGCTCCATAGCTCACAGGGTGTAGAAGGGATTGCAATAATGTGGTGTGTGGGCTCTCATGATTTCATTATAGAGGTTTAACTCACTGGGTGACAACAGATTTACACTGACATGGGAAACACTGCCTGCTCAGCAACAGCACATCTGTCCAGAAATAGGTTCTATTTATTACAGTCATTATTAACATCTGCTTTTTGTCTCCTGTTCCCCCCAGAGTCTAAAGGAAGGGCTGACAGCTGAGCAGAGACTCCACCTGTTTGAAAATAAAGACACTAAGGAGTTCTGACAGTGAAGCATCATGCCTACCTACCTTGCTGCATGTTTAGAAGCCCACTATATTTTAGCTCTGTAATTACTTATTTAGTAACACTACACACTGGTCACAAAACACAGATCATATATTATTAAAAAAACATGGTATGAAGTTTGAATTTCATGTCTAGATTTTGCATTCCATGCACTTCAGTTAACTGTGACTTTTTTTGTATTGTTGATTTTTTTGCTGCCATGTCTTACTGTAAATACTGTTTTTAATTGAGCATCTGTCATGCATACATTAAAACTATGACTGTGTAAGCTACTGTTTTAACTCCCTAGACTGTTGCTAGCCGAAGGCATAAATGTGATGTTTAATGGCTAAAACACAACGACATATTGATGAGTGTGTAATACTTGCGTAACAAAACCATAGGAATGAGTCTGGCGTTCAGGTCTGCACGTTGGCGCTCCTCCGCTCCGTCATCATTCCAGCACAGACGGACGCGTTGCTCAGTTAACAAGCTATGGAACAAAATGTCTGCATTAGAAAACAAATACTGACCATGTTGCTTCATCGCCCGACTTCTACATTAACATCATAGATGTTCTCAGCAGTCCTTGGAGATACCCGTAGAGAGGCGACAGCTGAATGCATATGGATAGGTTTCACTGATTATAATTTAAATATATATATATGAAAATTTATATAGAGTGTTTTTTTTCTCACTGCAATCATTGGTCCAGCTGTATAGGAGTTGTTGGAGTTGGTTATGTTTGTAGTCTTGTTCAGTGGCAGTCCCTTTGTATTTATTTAAATGGTTGGGATTTTTCTTTCACATTCCCATTCCTCTGTACTCTATTATTGTAAATATAAAGCAAATATACACCAACTGACTACAGGTTTATTAGCAATAAATATTTTTGCACCCTTTTTCTTGTGCGACTGTTTTAAGTGGTCCTCTTGTGTTTTAATACGTTTGCGTTTAACACATAAAATGCTGCACATGCTATGCACCTTGTGTCCAGCAGGAAAACTTTAGAAAGGAACAATATTTGCATATTCAGAGATTCTGGAGGTTTTAAGAGGTAGAAGGAGTAGATTACTTTTTAAGGATTTTAATGTGGAAATTATATCATTATAAAATAAATTTAAAAAAACCCATTTCAGACACATTATTACAAGCAGACTATTTGTATATATTCCTTAATACATGTTTAATAATCTTGCTTCCAAGGTAGAGAAAGTTGTCTGAGATGGATGAGAAGTTTGCAATGACAGTCTTCAAAAGAAGAGAAGAAGAGAGCACTGAATTATTATTAATACTGTTCCTTTAACTTCAAACTGCATGGATTTTGTCAAACAGCTAAAATTGTAAATCATTCACAGTTTTAGTATAACACCATAGCATTTTGTTATGTAACTAACCATTATTCTCTAAATTAATCAATTAGTTCTTTGATCCAGAAAATGTCGCAGGTGATGCCTTCAGATGTCAGAGACTTCAGGCATTATTTCTTAAACAAATATTCAATAATTTAATAGCTGGCAACTAATCAATTAATCAAGTAATCACTGCAGCTCCAGTGGTGATACCATTAGTTAAGCAGATAAAGAAAAGCACCATTTACAGATAGAATGACGAATGAGAAACTGAAGGGAAAAACATCAAGGGTCTTCGTACGGTACTGTGTCCCTACCGGCCCCCACAGCAGCTTTAATTCTGGAGGTGTGGAGCTCTGCTGGAGGGATGATGAACGGCTTTCTTCAAAACATATTCCCTGATCTTGTGACCTGTAGTATCTGTGTTCCAGTTAATCCATCACCTGTCTAGTTGAATTCAGTCCATCTCTCTCCCAGAGCTAAAGCAACAACAGGAAACAGCATGTTACATATTGAACAACAGCCAGGGTTGTATTCATCTGTCAGCCTGATTTATGGTCTGTCCCCAGTTGATCTGTTCCAAAGTAGACATTAGGTCATGTGACAGCAGGACAAGCCCAGGTCTTACTAATAACATTAAAGACAGCTGATGATGTCATCAGGCTAAGGCTTGGAGACTTATTATTTTTAATAAAAGGTTTGAACTGGAGACATGGAGGCTGAAAGACATGTACCAGGTACGGAGTGTCTTAAAGGTCCAGAGTGTAACATTTAGGAGGATCTACTGTCAGAAATGGAATATTATATTAATTAATATGTTTTTATTAGTGTATAATCACCTGTAAGTAAGAATTGTTGTTGTTTTTGTGATCTTAAAATAAGCTGTTTATATCTACAGAGGGAGGAAGTTCTGTGGAGTCTGTCATGTTGAACCGCCATGTTTCTACAGTAGCCCAGAATGGACAAACCAAACACTGGCTGTAGATAGAGCATTTCATGTTTTTTGTAAGTTTTATGGCCACCGTAGTTTCTCCAACACCCTTTGAATGGTGATCATTCAAATGGTTGCAATCTGCAACTTCACCACTAGATGCCACTAAATCCTCCACACTGGTCCTTTAATGAAAGATGCTATTGGGTTGCATTATGGGAAGTGTAGGAATATCAGAATCAATATCAGAAATCCTTTATTGATCCCCAGGGGGAAATTTGTTTGTTACAGTTGTTCAAGGTGATCACACAATGTGAAAGAATAGAAATAATACTTATATTACACAATATGTATAGAATAACAATGTGTATACAGGTATATACATAAGTAAAAAATAAATAAAATAAAAATAGAAATAGAAATATCATGAGAGCCTATGTACCTTAAAGTAATAATAAAATATATACAATAACGTTATATCAAAGCCAGAATATCCCAGCCTCTGCTGCTTTGATTTCAATCCTTCTTTTTCTAACTGCCTCTACATGTCTCTTGTAACTGCCCCGACTTAATGATAGTGGATATTAAATTGCTGGAATAGCCCTTTAGTCTCATACAATTAAAATATAATTTAAAAAATCCAAAATTCCACTTAACTCTATGTGTATCTTTATTTATTTGATCCACCTACCCACTGGCCTGTGTCCAAGGACCATGTCCAACAGTTGTTAGCAACAAACACATGTGTACATTGAAACATGGGATTTTAGAGTTGCTTTATGGCCTATATGTGAAAATGACCGGAAATGTCCGTTGAGGTTCAATAATTTGAGCTGGAACCAGACTATACGGTTGGAACAGGTCCCACCACATTTGCTCCCACAATGCCTCACACACAGCTGGGAGGGGGGGGGGAACTAACCTGGTTCAAGTTTTCTGTGACCCTGACAGCCTGCATGCAACAGTTGGATCAAAGGGTAAATTGTTCTGACTTAACTGAACTGCCCTCCTGCTAACATTGAGATAAATTGTGCGTTTAGTAATTGCTACCCGGTTGGTGTTTGGTTTAATTGTAATTTTTATTCGTATTATTTCAAATAAAAGAGAGAAAACCACCAAAAATGCGCTACTAATTGTTTTATTGTGAAGGGGGCATCCGGAAGTTTGAGATTATACTCCAAACAACTTGACAGTGCCGCTAGGTTATCAGAGTAGTGTGTTCCTGGAAAGTGTGTGGATCTTTATTTAATTTGGGGCTTTGTCTCGGTGTAGTGTTATTAGGAGTCGTTAGAGCAGATGGTCTGTTGAAAGAGATGCAGGGGGGGACGAATCCTTAACTGGACCTTTAGAAACGCTACGATCTTTCCCGTCCGGGTAAGTTTTGATCAGCAGCTCAGAGCGCAGCGCATTACCTCCGCTCAGTCTTTGTTTCATCCAGCCGGGCCTTGCCCCGATGCCTGCCGTTCTCTGAAATGCAGAGAAGGTGTTGCCAAATTCCATGAAAAGTAATCCGCAATTAAACAATACCTTGCTTTTTGTTGAATTTAGGAAACATGTAGAAAGTAAACTATACTTATTTGAATCATTAGGAGCCACTCTACAATTCGGAATAGATGTAACATGCCAAAGAACACCCTTTGAAACAAGATTTAACATTTAAAATTTGGTTTTGCCGTTGTTCTTGCAACAAAGTTACCAAGAGTCGCAGTGTGCAGTAGCGAACAATGTGGACCACTGAGCTAACAAAGTTGCCATTTTATCGAAATAATGAGCTTCTCAGAGGAGAAGACGTCGCCGAAATGAACGGTGATGGTTATCGATCATTAGAACTTGTGAAGTCACTTTCTGTGGCGTATGACTTTGTGTCTCCAATAAAATCACTTAAAGCTGCCAGATATTTCATAGAGTTCGGCGTCCGGGAAGGCTACCGGAGCTAAGCCGGGCCTAGCGAGCTAACGTTAGCTGTGGATAGGCTAAGCTAACTATCATTAGCAAACCTGACCTGTCATGCTGGTTAAAAAGTCAGCCGGTAGTTTGGAAACACATTATCTATTGGACCTAACAACTTGATATGATAAACATTCAAAAATATTAATATAAATTGGAAATAAGCCAACACGTAAATTGTCAGTTAACCTGTGTTCTCCAACGTTAATGAAATTCAAGCACACGTCATTTGCCTAGCTAACTAATGTCAGTGTTCGGACTTTAGCTGTAAAGGCTTGTGGTTTTGAGTTATACTGAAATAAAAAGGTAAGAATGGTTTAAGTTTGAACTCAAAGTGATGTCACTTAGTTGTTTAAAAGTAGTCCTGAACTCTGAACTGGAAATAAGCACATGTGCTCAGTGTATCTGCTCTGTTCTGATAAGAACTTTAAAGTTAGTTTCCTCCAAGACCAGTTACACCTTTTCTGTCCCCCCTCTGTCCCTTTCAGTTGTTATGGAGCAGCCACCTGGGAGCTTGGACGATCTACAGCCTCAAGACCTCTCCACCTCCAGCATCCCCAGTGTGATCGACCTGACCAGGAAAGGCGAGGAGTGTGTCCTCAACGCCACCCCCCTCGATGCCCTGCGGATGGTCAAGAGCCCCGGCTGGTACCCAAACTCCGGGACCAGCAATACCGGATTACCCTTCTCAGAGACCGGCTCCTCGGACATCACGCTCCAATCAGGGGATCAAATTCAACCGGACAATGCCTTCTCCCACACTACGGTCACCCTCTCCTACGTGAGCAGGTCTCACGTCTACTCCACTCACGACTCGCTGCCTCGGCCTCTGTACAGTGTGCCGCCCGTTAGCAAGTTGTCCCCCACCCCTCCTTGTGACTCAGACGAAGGGCTTGGGGAGATTGGCTATGCACTTAACCAGCATTACATGGAGCAGGTGGACGGGCCCGTGGACCTCGCCACTGAGACAGAACTTTTTCAGCCAGTGTCTCAGGCTCACATGGGACCTGAGAAGGATGGGGGAGTGTGTGTAACACAGGAGCCTCATGAGTTGAATGGTGGAGTCGTCTCCAGCGATGGGCACGTGGATACGCAAGCGCAAGGCCAAGAAGAACACAGCCTTTCTCCGGAAAACAGCGGGGGTTTGGAGAACGGTCAAGTTGATAGCTGTTCGAGTTCAGGAGTATGCGCTGAATCCTCGCCGGAAACACTCACCCCTGCCACAGGGGAGGATGAGGTGCTCTTTCTCACGTCTAAGAAAGCAGACCCGGCGGTCGTCCCGGACTGTGTGGGTGCTAGAGACCTGTGTTCACTGAGTAGGGAGTACATCAGTCCTCTGGATGACCCCGTCTCCCCTGCCGCTACCTCACCGGACAATGTGTTCGCCCTGCCTCAGGCCTCCAGCTCACCCAGCGGCGACAACTCTTATCTAGAGACAAACGATGAGGTTGCGTGGGATGGCTTGAGCACAGTGGGGGCCGCTCAGCCAGGCTCTGGCATCAGCGATAGTGCCACGAGGTTGGATTCGAGCAACAAAAAGCAGCCTGTCCGTAGACGGAAGGCAGTGTTGCAGCCTTTGATTGACTTGACAGATGATGTTTGTGTATCGGATGTTTCGGAAAACAAGACTGTCATTCCCCACATGAACGGGAATGCAAAGGCACTACAAAGAACTTTAAAAGAAAAGAAGCTGCCAATGCGTTCCGGCAGAGGGACGCGGTTAGAGGCTATCGTTATGAACATAAATTCAAGCAGGTATAAAGTGTCAGGATGCATACGCACCAATAAGAAAGCAGCTGCTAAGTTAACCGGTGCTAAGAAGAATGACACCCTGTCAGTAGGAAAAAGGAACAGCAGAGCAAAAGCGTCTTTCTCAGCGAAAACAATGAAACAAAAAGCAGTAATTCCAATGAAAAGGGGTAAAACTAATAACATTAACACTGACAGTTGCAAAGACTCTACCTCCGATACAGAAATCAATAATTCTAAAAGCTCACAAAGCAGCACAGCTCCAAAAAGCCCTCAGTTTGCTGTGCACAAGAACTCAAAGAAGGAGCCAGAGCCTCTTTCTCACCCCGACCCCTCAGTGGAAATTCACGTGGCAAGAGTTTCCCCCCCACCAACACCATCAAAATCTCCAAAGAAAAGCCAAGGCAAAGCCAAAGGGAAGGCTGCAGGTAGCAAAACACCTCCCACTGCCAAGACGAAGGCGAAGAAGAGCAGGCGAAAGAAACACAAACCGAGCCAGTCTTCCTCCATGTTCTCCCCCAAGGAGCCGGAGATCAAGCTGAAGTACGTCAACTACAAGGAGGAGAAAAGGGACTTGAGGTTAGACAGTTTTTCGCCGTTCATCCGTGTGGAGCGCCAGCAGTCATCGCCGTCACTGTGTACTGTAATCAACTACCCCGATGAGGTAAGGACACAGCACAAGAAGGGCCAGCAGCAGCCGGCTCACCCCGGCGGCTTTATTTCTGCAGCCGTACCCAGCACCTCCTGTCTGCAGCTGGGCCGGGCCTCCACACACGGCCAGCACCAGCGCTCTCTGGTCTGCTGCCTGTGCGGGCAGTCGGCCAACGCCATGGACTTGGGGGACCTCCACGGCCCCTATTACCCCGAAGGGTACCAGCCAAGCACCAAAACACCAGCCGGCACATCGGGCCTCAAAGAGGACGAAGACGACTACAGCGACTCTTCCTCCTCGTCCTGCAGCATGAGGGGCAGGGGGAGGAAGCGTGCCGTTCCACACACGCCGCGGCCCCTCAGGCCAGGAGCTCGGCTGAAGGAGAAGGGCCTCCTGGAGAGCCAGCGGTGGTGCGGCGACGGTACCGGCAGCCCCGCTGCGAAGCGGGCCCGGTCAGATGCCACCTCTGCAGATGTAGAGGACTGGTACAGCCCCCCCGTGCTGCCCCTGGAGCCCTGTGAATACTGGCTCCACGAGGACTGCGGCATCTGGTCCGCAGGCGTGTTCCTTGTGAAGGGCAAAGTCTACGGACTGGAGGAGGCTGTAAAGGTGGCCCAGGAGACGGTAAAGCTGCACTTCAAACCTGTTGTGTGTTTGTTATACCACCAGATGTGGTTGATATGATGGAAATGAACAAAACATTAAGGACGACAAAACATTAATAGTCTGACTGTTTGCTTGTTTTCAAGGCCTCTAGGATACTAATAGATTTCGGATGTCAAAGCATGAGTAAGCATGAATAACTGCCAATTACGTCAGATAGAAAAAGATTTGAAGTTATTGGTGCAGGCAAGCAACACTGAGACATTGTGATTAGAACAATGTTACAGAGTTTGCATTGCTCGAGGGTTCGGCTTGTGCATTTGGAAGAGAGCTGCTCTTTAAAAGCTGAAAAGCACACAGAACAATCTCTCTGCTTGTTGCACCAATTTCTGCAAACATTTTCAGATCCAACTTCTTGTTTTTTTGAGGGCCAAGGGTCATTTTTCACTTTGGAAACAGTAGTTTGTGTATATAGCAGGGAGTATGTGTGGCCTTAAAAGACTTTTAAAAAGTTTAGAATCCAATGATCTCAATTTCAGATCCAGCTTTTAAATGTTTTTGGGGAACTGATACTGGTTCCTTCCTACTTTTTTTTGTCAGTATCAGGTCTTAAAGTTCTTTAATAGAACAGAGCAAGCTCCATCCTCTGACTGCGAGATGCGGTTGAAGGCTCTTAGGAGGGAAAAATGATTGTTCTGCTGGACCAAAGAAATTCACAGATGACTAAGAAGGCTAAGTAAATATTCAGATTTGAGAAGCTGGAATTAGTCAGTTACTGGGCAAAAAAATGACATAACCATTTAACTGATCATCAAAACAGCTGCAGATTAGTTCTCTGCCATCAGCTAATGATTTTATCAACTAATTCCTACAGCTCTGACCACGCAGGCGTTCAAGAGCTCACAGTGCAATCCATGGCAAATCTGTCTATTTTACAACACCCTGACTCAAATGTCAGCTTTCCACACTAACTGTCTGCTGAGCAAACGTATCAGGCAGGATGCCAGGACATTTATCATAACCACCATCCCAACGGGGCAGCGGTAATGAATTTTCAGGCTCGAGGGGCAGGGCTGCAGTCATGATTACTTTGGTCACCACAGAGTGAGCATTCCTCAAGTAGCCTCAGTCTGCTGCCACATATGGGACCAAAGTTCAATTCTAAACTCACTGTATCTCGTCATGACCTACTGGGATTGCATCAATACAACAGATTATTAGTGAGACCTTTCCTACTATGACAATAGTGAAAAAGATCTTTTTAGCCTTTGTACCATGCTCAGATTTCTTCACACAGATGGCTGTAGGACATTTCTATGCAATGCTGATAAATGAGGACCTTGATGAAGAATGAGTATGTGAATAAGTTGTCTACGGATCTTAAAAGCATTATGAATTTGATTGTCTAACTTCAAGGCCATAGAAAACCCTTTTTTCCAACAGTGTTAATTGATTTTTCACAACAAAAGTTATAAAAAAAAACCCTGTATGCATACAAATATCCAGTATAATAACACAAACTTAAACAATGAACCAATAATATTATATATACATGCATATGTATGTGTGTGTGTGTGTGTGTATGTATGTATATATATATATATATATATATATATGCGCTTTTTGAGTGAGAACAGATTAATCATTAAGGAGCTCCATCAGACATGTTGTAATTTTAAGTAAATATCAGCAGTACACACCCTGCTAGTGCCTCCTTTGTTTGTTTTTAAGCTATAATATATTTCATATTGTAGACACTGTCTCTGCTGTCCAAGCACGATGTTTGTCATTTGACCTTTTCCCCATTGTGTCCCCAGATGTGTTCGGGGTGCCGCGACCCCGGCGCAACGCTGGGCTGCTTCTTCAAAGGCTGCCCCAACAAGTACCACTACAGGTGTGCTCTGGAGTCAGGTGAGTTCTGCTCTCTGCCCTCTGTCCTCTGTCCCCACACATCACAGGGGAGCAAAGGGCAGTTACTTACCCGTGTGCATGTTTACAGGTACAACATGCACAGTAGGGATGAGTGAGTGCACCGTTCACCTGTAACCAGAGAGGGCGGGGCTTAAACTGGGAGGGACCAACCAGAAGTTCATTTAAGCCTGATAATGATAGGGGTTGATCAGAAGCTGCTACATTTCCCACTTCAGAGCAGTGCTTCTGATCACAAGAGTAAGAACCATTTCTTTTTTTATTGGTTAAATTAAGACAGACAAGGTGACATGAGGGACAAATACATCACACCACGTGGACTACATGTACAAACAGTGGACATACAGTACAGATAACAACAGAAAACAACGTAAAGTTACAATGATAGGTATATAGGTAGTATAGATGCGTGCGTGTGTGTGGATGAGAGGCAGATGGTATGGTAGTATATACACATATAATATGGCACAGATAGATGATACAATAAAAATAAATAAGTAAATAAAGTAAAAAGTATAAATATGAGAAGAGAAGGAAGAGGAAAGTAAAGAGGAGAAAAATAAATAATCTGCAATATATTAAGATAGTATAGTGTAATATAATTTAACCTAATATAATGTGACAGGATAATGTGAGATAAGATAATACAGGGCAATACAAGACATTATAATATAATATAGCATGATGTAATATAGCACAATATAATATATAATAACATAAGATCATATGGTATAACAGATATACATATATGTAAACATAACCTAATGTAAACCAATATATCATGACATTGACTATCATAAGACTAATTATTAGAATTAGTAATTTATATTGGGATGATAATAATATATTGCAATGAGGGGTGAGGCCAGACCGGGGCATCAGGGGGGCAAGCAAGGGGTCCCCCCACCCAGTCCCAAGTGGCCCAGTCGGGAGCTCCAGCAGGAGACAGGCAAGACGGCAGTGAAAGGACCCCCCCCCTCCCTTTTTTTTAATTGTACCTTGGGCCGCAGCCGAACCCGAAGGTAGCTGCTGGCCCGTTGCAAATCGGACCTCCTGTGCCACTTCCTGGTCTGGGCAACTTCCAGACCCTTGGGAGGGGGTCTGCCTGCTGAGGAGTGGGTTTTCTTTTTTTTTTTGAAAGAGAGGGGGAGAGGTAGGAACCAACCACTCTGCCCCACCTGCCCCCACCCGAGCCCCGCCATGCCCCAAGAGAACCAGGCATGGAGCCCCCGCTCGTCTCCACCCTCAACCAATCCAGTCCGGCCCCACCCCTCCGCCTTTATTTTATTATAATAATGTCATTATCATGATTATTGTTAGGAAAAATAAATGAATGAATGAATGAATGAAGAAACTATAGTTATGATGATGATAGATAAATAAGATAAACTATAGTTATGATGATGATATGGTAGTAATAACAATAGTAGCAGCAACAACAATAATAACTATCATAATCATAATATTCAGTCATAAGAATATTTGTACTAATAATATTAATGAACACAATCAACAAAATGTGCATAATAATAATAATTATCACAGTCATAGTAATAATGAAAATAGTGATAATAATAATAATAGTAATAATAATAATAATAATAATAATAATAATAATAACAATAAAGGAAGAGCAAAAAATAAAACAGGAAAAGAGAATATTTTAATTAAGGGAAAATAAAAAATAATAAAAAGGAAAAGAAGTGATGTGTTTTGAGGTGTTAGGAATGTGTGCAGCACTGGTACAGGCCCATCGAGGAGAGGAATGGGGACCATCTCTCTGTGAAAGCTATTATTTTGTTGTTATTGTAAGCAGTGATTTTTTTTCCATAGAGATGTGTTCCAAGAGAAGATTGATCCAGTGATTGATGTTTATTGGGTTTTCTGATTTCCAATTTAGGAGAATTGTTTTCTTAGCGACAGTTAGAGAAATGAGCAAGCTGTTCTTGTATTTGTTTGGTATGGTTATAACTGAAGTGTCTCCTAGTAAGCAGAGCTGTGGGGATGGAAGTAAGAACTATTTCCAGAAGAAGAACTTTATAAAGGCTATATTTGTTAGTGTGGATACTGACACATTGTACCGGGCACTCGTTTCAGCTGAGCACTCATTCAGCCCTAGTGCACAGCTATTTGTAACTGTTAGCTTTTGTTTAATTTTTCCAAGTTTACACAAGTGTCTTTGCTTAACATTGTTGTTGTTAAAATATTATGTTTAATGCACCCACGACTGGCCACTTTGTGCGAGAGTGTCTGAGTTCATGTGGATTGGTCTGGAAATAACTCTTTTGTGAAGTGCGGCTTGGCTATTATCACTTCCTCTCAGCCTGAACTTGCACGTGTGGGCGGTTGAACCCTTTGGATGAATCAGCGTGACATCTTCAACTCCTGTTCTGTTCTTGTTCTAGCAGACTGTGTACTCATTGAAGAAAACTTCTCCATGAAGTGTAAAAAGCACAAGGTGAGCAGTTTGCACTTTCAAATGTCCCTGGCTAGTGGAAATGTACAAGTTGTTTTAGAGAATTAGGTGTGATTCTGCTGTTCTAGAAGACTTTCTGCTGTTTGAAACATACCACGACTGTGTTAAATTTTAACTTTTGCAACTCCTCCTCCCTCTCCAGAACAAGACATTCAAAGCCCCTCCAGGGAACCGATGGGTTGACAGGTGACAAAGTTAGCAGAGAGAGGTTAGTAAACACCTGCCCTGCCGTCATATGTTCTGCCGCTCTGCAGGAAGTCATGTCAAGTTCAAGGAAATTACTCATAAGTCTTCAGACAGAGGTATAACAGACAGCCTGCCCACAAGCTGGGTCGTGGTGGGCCTAATGAAAGATGTTAATACGTTGCATTATGGGAAGTGAATGCGGTTTTTGCAGCTCAACCCACACTAGGGAATAAAAGTTTCAACTGTCTTTTGCGAGTTCCCCAGCTCTCTGAAATGCAGAACTAAATCACTGAAGTTATTTATTCATTTGCTGGTCCATCCACATGTTAAATTTAATATATTTGGGGTTTGAACTGTTAATGCAGCAAAATAACTGAGGATGGCACCATGAGCGCAGGAATTTGATGGATTAGCTTTTTTTTTAAAGCTGTTAGTGAATCGGTTACTCCAGCAGATCATGTTAATAGATGAGCTGTATATGTGCATGTATAATGACAGCTGGCAGGATGGCTCTTCACACTTTACACAGAAAAGTTCTGCTGCCTTTTGCACCGGCTAAATGTTAATGTAATCATTTTGAGAGTAAAGCCAACTCTAACTGCAGTGATGTAACTAAATGACCCCATTTTGTTCAGTTGCTCCAGCTCTACTTAAAGGGCCAGTACACCCCGAAAATACCCGTTTTCCCTGAGAGTTGCTGAGTTTTGGAGATATCGGCTGTAGAGATGTCTGCCTTCTCTCCAATCTAATGGAACCAGATGACATTTGAAAAACTCAACAGCAGTGTCTCGAGATAATCCACTGACACTGTTGTGAGTTTCACCACAACTACTCACGGACGAGAGGCTTGTGCTCGTGACAGCACAGGAGAAGGATAACATTTGCCGGTGCACTTCCACAGAAAGAATATATATCATATATATATGAACCTGCTCACAACTAGGTCACAGTTTCTGAAGAGAGACGCGCTGTTGAATTTTTCAAATGTATTTTTGCCACTTTGAGCACCACAAGCTGACTGCCATCTTGTTCCATTATATTGGAGAGAAGGCTGATCTCTCCAAAACTCAGCAACTCACACCCAAACGATCAGGATGGATAAACACTACAGCTAACAGGAAGAATATGTATTTCTGATCTTGGTGGTGAACTGTCCCTTTTTAAGCTGCAAGGTTAACTAAGCTGACCATTATCAAACCGCTTGGATGTTTCTAACTAGTGCTGCATTAACGTAATGTGGAAGAGAGAGTAAAATAGCAACAGACATGTTATTAAAAAGCTAAAGTAAATCATGCTTTTACATGTTAACTAGCTACATGATACAGCTGGTCATCAATAACTGAACAAGACTGAGTGTACAGCCACGCTAGCAGCTCTGTGAGACTGCTCTTAGGCACAGTGGTGCTATATATAACACTAGCACTGTAATATAATGCTCAGCAGGTATAATGTTTACCACGTTAGCACGAAACACTAAACACAGTTAAAGTTTGTGACACCCGGAATGAAAGTGAAGAAGGTAGCCAGTGAGTGTGAATGAGTTTTTGGGCCGAGGTGAGCCGGTTAGCTGTGCTGAGTGTCTGCTGATGCTGGAGACTGCAGCTGCTCATTACACAAACTAAATATATCTGTGCCATAGTCTGCTCGCTTCCTTTAATCAGCAAGTAGTGTGTTCCAATGAATTCATCACCGTGACATATGTGTCTCTGTGTATTCATCCAGACATTCACCTGCAGAGGCTCCCCTTCCCCCTTCTGCTGGGGAGCCATGGCAACTGTGGACCAGGGTTCTTCTGACTGACAGCTAGCACCCGTAAACCTTAACTTCACCCTCTGCTCTTCAACTGCACTGTTAACCCCCTGACCCCCCCCCCGTCAAGTCCAGTCTGACGGCACTCATCAGACAGACCGCAGTAACCCGCAGACTGGTGACACCTACTCTCAACTTCACATACAGTAACATGCTGAATTTGTCCTTTGTGTTATCACTTTGTAGTTATTTATATGAATTTTTCTTCCTGGATTAAATATGAATAACAATCAAAGATATTTAATTTTTTTTAAAGATTTTGTAAGTATTTGATTATATTTGGTTTATTTATTCCTGGAGTTTTCTTATTGGCTTCTTCAGCAGTTGTCAAAGAGGTTTGTGATTGTGTGTTTTTAAGTTATTGCTTAAAGCAGTTCAATGTTGAAATATCCCACCAGTCAGAGAGATGCTGGTTTTATTCAGAAGTGGGACAGAGAAAGGGCTGGACGGTCGACATATGACATGGTACCTGATCGGGCGCCGCCAACACAACAGGGTTTGAACCAACACCTTTGTGGGATCAGAACACATGGCATTAGGTTTTTGTTTTTACAAAGAGCGGTGCCCACTGGCGCTGAATGTGGGGCCCAGTTTATGTTACTGAGGGGACTGAAGAGTGTGTGTTTTGAATGTATTCCCCCCCATGCGAGGGGTTTTTGCTGGAAGCACATGGGAGCGACACTGAACACGTCCGGTCCTCTGTTAACACCTGCAGCATTACCTTCTGCAGCTGACCGCCTCCTCGTCGTATCGATGGCTTCGGGCTCACTCATGAGGCTCTTTGAGGTCCACAGGTCAGCCTGTGAACTTAAAAAGAGACTATCTAACCACCAGGAGGAGACCATGTGATTTTATTTGGCTTCAAGCACTTTGGCCTCCCACTTCAGGCTGGGAGAATTGAAATGTGCCCATGTTGTGTTCGTCTGCACGGCCCTTAAATCAGTCGGTATCTTAATGGAACTTCAGTAGGATTTGTTGAGAGACCCGTTTCTTTCAGAGCAAGTCATCTGCTGTTTACTTGGATTTCTTCTGTCGGAGCTGCAATATTTTCTTTCTGTTCTGTTTTTGCAGTACAGTATTCTCATTGCTTCGAGTGAACCTCAACAAACTTTATTTGGAATTAAAGGACCACTCCGCTTCACCAGTGGCACTTGAGTTTAAAGGAGTAGTGTGTAACATTGAGAAGGATCTATTGGCAGAAATATAATATTTATAGGTAAAATTCTCATTACTGTATAATCACCTGAAAATAAGAATCATTGTGTTTTTGTTACCTTACAATGAGCCGTCATTATCTACAGAGGGACTCTTCTACGGAGTCCGCCATGTTGCCACCCTAGTGTCTCTTATGTGGTTGTATGGCTGAGCTGTATTGGAATTGTTTATGTTCACTGCCACTCAATCCTCCACACTGGTCCTTTTAACAGGGATGTATATTTGCAGATCTCTGTGCTGACATTGACAATCTTTGGTTTACATCAGTCCTCATTTCGACAGGCCACGCTAGTATTAGGATTCCTGATAAGTCGTGCGATTTTTATTTCTTGACTTGGGCCTAAATGGTGAGTTTCCACCAGAACCTTTCTGAAAAAGCCTTATCTGACACACAAGAGGTATATACAGTTTTTTCCTCTTCTCACTAACTTTCGGTGCAACGACAAATCAGTGGATGTACATCACCTTCCTTTGGACATCCTGATGACTGAAGGCAGCTTGCATGCACTTTTCTGCTGCAGACTTTGTTGTTACTAATAGCAGGGGCACGGTAGGCCAAATCCTAATGAACCCTCCGACCACGCAGGTACACACTGACTCTCTGGGACATGTGTACACCATGTACTGAGATTAGTTCCCAGTGTTTTTAGTAGTATCTGTTGAATCAGGTGATGAGGTCAGGGCTTTGGCCGGTCAGCCTGCCTGATTTGTTTTAGAGAAAAGTCTTTATGTGATCAGTGTTGGTGTAACGTCTCTATGTACTTTCGCATTGCGCCATTAGGGGCAGCGTCGTGCCGACTGAGACCCAGTGTGTGTGAGGTCCGTTGGCTCGATGTTGGCAGACCTCCACACAGAGGCAGCAGCATGACGCTCACTCACACAAATCTTCTTATCCTGGAACACCACAGCTGTTTGATTTGTGCCATCCTTGTGTTTTTTGTGTGTTTTATATTTTGTTGCGGTGCATTTTCACTGCAGTTTGTTTTCAGTTGTTTGTACCAAATACAGTTTTTGGAATATGTTTTATTCTTCCAAAATGTTTTGGATTTTTAAAAACTATTTTGTCCGTGTGTTAATCTCAGGGCTGAATCTCAGATATTCTAATGATTTGAATTTTATTTTGTGCTCCCCCCCCCTGTGTGTTTAACCCTACATTGACTGGAGCAATGGTACATGTAGCAGGATGTGGTTATCTCTCAGATGCAAAAGCCTTCTGTCCTGGTACACACAACTCATCACATTCCAACGCCTCCTCCATCTGTCTGTCTGTCAGTGCTGCGGTGTTTTTAGGTTGATCTAGGACTGCCAACTCCTGTCACTTTTTTCATGGTCTTTGTTTTACGGCAACATTTTGTACCGTCTCGGTCACCTCTCGGAGCATCAGAGGTCATGTAATTGTCAAAAATAAATATTTTGTTCAACGTTGTGGTTTTCTGTAAGTAGAGTTATTATTATAGCATGGTGTTTTTTATTAGTGTTTATTTTTGCTTGTCAGGGGCAAGATTTAAGTTCAGAATAGGTATTACAATACAAACACATTAACTCAGTCATGTAGACATCCCAGTCTCTATAACCATAATGCACCAATGCCTCCTCATGCTTGTTGACAAATTTGCCCAAATTGACCTGAGGACTGAAACTTAAGCCATTTCCTGTATACTTTTATTTGATCTTAATTACTTCTGTAAGTACACAATATAGTTTTTTAAATTCTATATCTAATTTATTCTTCTTATTATTTTATTTATAACTGAAATGTTTTTTCACACCTACTTTAGTTTAAATAGTTAGCAATATTAAATGTGTGGGGGTGGAGATATATATATATATATATATATATATATATATATATATATATATATATATATATATATATATATATATATATATATATATATATATATATATATACATATTATATAATATATATAATATATATATATATAATATATATATATATAATATATATATATATATATATATATATATATATATAATATATATATAATAATATATATATAATTTCACTCAGCACTAGTAAATATTTTTATATTAATACTATATATTAGTAGATGTTACTGTATAGGGTGAGAAGTGACAAACTGCTCTTTTTACAGCAAACATTGTGACTCATTAGGAAAAGCATACAGTAGGTGTTACTGGACCAAACATGGCTCCGTCAGGTGTCACATGTCACTGTGACAGGACCCTGAAACTGAAGCAGCTAAATGGAATTCAGCCATCATTCATTTAATTATTTACACCTGCGCTTTTCCTACAGTGACATGTCAAAATGTCTTTAGTTAAGAAGGCCTATAGACCTTTTTCACAGCAGCCGTTTTTGACATGAAATAGGTTAAATACGGGTGTTACCAATGATACTAATTAAGGTTCTGTTCCACTCAGGTCGAACAGATTCAGGATGCTGCTGTCGTGCATGTTGGCTCACTGTAATGGCTCTGCTACACTAAATGGAACAGAACCTTAATGACTATTATGGCTAACACCTGTGTTTACCCTACTATTCTGTCAAAATGGCTGCTGTTAAAAAGGTCTATTATCACCTAAGTCTGCTGTCCCCTCAGCTCTACAGAGCAATTTAGTGTCTTTTAGCTCATTGTTTTGGTGTGGCAGCCCACAACCCAACTGTTCTGGTTCAGTCTCACGGCTTATATCAACCTCGTTTCCAGAAGCAGCAAAAAGCACCAAACGGCAAAGTTAGCAGCTAGCTATTGAACATATTGGTGCATTAGGCAGCTAATGCTAAAGAGCTAGGTATTTCCTTCACTAATTGAAAATACTATTATATATAATATTCATATTACTATTTGATCATGTCTTATTTAATATAATTTAAATAAGCCATTTCAAAGTTTTCAAAAATAAAGATGAACTAAGATCTTGTTTTTCACTTTTGCTCTGATAGAAAATGAACTACAAATTCTATAACGCTCTGAAGCAAACATGCCATTACAAGTTCATTATATTCTGTAGCTTACACACTTGTACCATTAATCAGCTCCACATCCTGCTATGTCCTATTGTATCACAGCGGACACCTGGGGGAAAAAACAACAAAAAAAAGGCCCAAAACCAAAGATCACTCCAACAAGAATTCTCATTTTATTGACTAAATCTCAGCTTACAGGAAGACAGTTGTATTGCAAAGACAGAACCGGATACGAGTTCTAGTGCTGTGATCATCTACTCACTAAAACTCCACCAAAATAATGATGCTTTGAAATATGTCACAGTAAAGACACTGGAACTCCATTACAACACATTACGTTATGGATGAGGTGAGGAGGCAGCAGCGACCGATTCAGGCGTGGTGAGGAAGAAAAGGGAAAGGTGACGTATCCCTTAATGACTCATCCTTCCTCCCAGGTCGGGTGTCCTCAGCTGCAGCGGATACTGGACCTGATTGTATCAGGAGCAACTCATGTTTCATCCTAACACTCAACTATACTAAAATATCCATTCTAACATTCTGGTGTCCTCCACTAGGATGAAATTATACTGAAAGTCAACTTGTTTCTTTAGTTTCAATTTCTTGCTGTCCGTCTAACCACCGTCTGAAACTGATGTATCAGCATATCAACAAGTGGAATTATCTCACGCAGTGGTGGAGCCAAACAGTTTGCATACGAGTGCTTGACTATTCACTGTCAGTTGTTTTCTGCGTGGCACGGTGCCATGTCAATTCTTTTTAATTCATTCACTGCTAAATGAGCCAGATGCTTAGAGTACATCATTAGAGATCATATTTAACAGGCTGTTAAACAATTAAGTGGAAGTTAGAGGATGTTTGCTTATGACCACAATTTGACCATTTTGTCTAAAATGGGCCAGAATAATGATGAATCTCCTCATACGGAGAAGTATAAAAAGTACTAATGTCAGAACACACTTTACTACACCACGTTGATGCAGTGCAGGTGCAAACAGCTGTCCGCACTTTAACTGAGAGACAATACTGCAAAGTTAAAGTTACCTGTGGAGTTTTTGACCACTAGTAGCGCTATAAGCAGTGTTTCTACGAATGGGTTTGCACATACACACACACAAGTAGTAGTGGAAGTAGTGGAACAACTCTTACTGTCCTCGGTTTTTATGCTATTTTGCTGACAGTTGGTGGCAGTAAGACCCCAAGAAATGTAGCAGTGCATCAACACAACATTGTTTGCATTAAAACTCAACGGGGCACCTTTAACGTCCTGTTGCCAGTGCTGCTTGCAGCTGGCTACCAAAAGTTGACTTGACCAGAAAAGTGATGCTGTCTGGACTATTCAATTCAATTCAATTCAATTTTATTTGTATAGCGCCAATTCATAACAGAAGTTATCTCAGGACACTTTTCAAATAGAGCAGGTCTAGACCGAACTCCTTATAACATATAACATATATTATAACTAATGGGGTGTCTAGAATTTAGTCTCTATTTTGGCCACTAGGGCTGTCACTTTCTACTCAAAACTGCACTCCTTGTACTCCAAAATACATGGAGGATACATGTGGAGGGAACTAGCGAGCTGTGCTCAACGGATAATCATGATTGGACACAACAGTTGGAAAACTTGTAGATAAAGGTAAAGCTGTTTATTGTCTTCTCAAAATGCCTGCGTTAGCATTAGTACAACCAATCCAAAGTCAAACGTTAGCTTAGCTCACTAAAGCGGGGGGCACGGCAAATAAACAGAATGTTAATTCTGCAGCGTATTTTTTTATTATTATTATTATTATTATTGTTATTATTATGGGTAGCATTCCATATAGTCTGAACTAATTACATGCTAGTTCTCATTAATTTATTTACTAGGCACCGTACTGGGCACCCCTTGGCTCCACCACTGCCAGATGTACAACATTTGTCACTTGACTTCGGACTGAATACTTTTTTAAGAGGGAGGTTTGATACACTGTAGAAAAACAGGGAAAGGCTAAGGAGGAGGAGAAGAAGAGTGGTTTCAGGGAGAATACTGCAGAGAAAGAATGACACGATGAGGTAATGTACAGGCCCATGTAATCTCCTCTTCATACGGTCATGTGAAAGGCCTCACCAGTTGAATCTGATGTGCCGGAGCTTACACAGTAAACGCTGCAGAGCCAGCGCTGCTTGCAGCTGGCTCACGGAGAGCGAGCGGCTACAGAAAACAGCACAGCTACAGTGTCTGTATCAGGACCGTCCTTTGTTCTGAGTCAGAAGGCTGCCGATGAGGTCAGAGATTGTCACAAGATGTAGTAATTTGCATACTGGCTCACTGATCCGGGAGCAGTTTTGATGAACATGATCCAAACGGTTTATGTAAGGGCTGAACTGAGTTTAGCTGGTCCTCAGTCAGGCATATCCAAGCTGAGGCTAGTGACTCTCACAAGATAAAGAAACATGTTGTTTGCAGCTATACTACATCTACAGAGTACTACAGCTTGTGACAGGAGGAACACGGAGCGGGTTTTCACAACAGAGCTTTAGCACATACAAGTTCATGCAGATTTATGTCTGGAAAGCAACACACGAAACGCCCATTCCTGTGTATGATCCAATGCTTTTTTTCCTTCAAATTATTTAGGTAATATTCAGATTGAGTCAAAGAAAGAAATTACTTTTTTTTTTTGTTAATTTTAACTTGGTAGAAAAAAAATATCGACGCCACACTACTTCACTAAAAGTGGCAATTTAGAAGCAAAAGTCTCTTCTAAAATTACATCATGTAATTCCCTACCTGTGGTTTAAATTCAAGCCTCTCACTCTATGCCCTCATGCTTTGCTTTTTTTCTGCTCCTGAAGGTGGTAAAAAGTACACAACATTAATAGCAATACAAATACAACACACTGAGTAGAAACTAATTATTGTTCTGATTTTTTTAGCCCTAGAATGTCTCAGGAGATCATGACGGCAATATTCACTCTGGGACATAATGCAAGAAATTGTGCTACGGCAAAAATTCCACATCACAACATTTTACGTTTCTTTTTGTCCTTTTTTCTGTAAAGCCAGTTCAAATTTTTCGTAAAAGGTAAGTTTGAGTTTGTCATGCAGTTTATAAAAGGTGACTCTGTAACATCTTCTGTGATTTTTTTCCTTCAGATTGAATTGAAAATGCTATGTGATCCTTTTTCTTTTTTCTTTCCAGTTAATACATTTTGCTAAAAGTTTCGAAGAAAACATACGCAATACAAACAGAATGTTTCGGAAAAAGGTTTCAAAGAAAACAGAAGCTATACAAACTGAATTTCGAGAGTGAGTAGAAAATAGTCTTTCAGTAGTGAAGTAGATATGTTTGACATGAAGAACAGAGACATCATAAGCCTTCTCTCAGTCAAGTCTGACGTCATGGACGGTAAAATATTCCGTCTGAAAACCTCATACTTAAAATACAACTATTCATACTAATATGTACAGCAGCCAACCAAATATGTTGCACAGAGAAGTGGATTTGGCACAGCTATGCCAGAACATCAAATTACAACAAATTGAAGTGGAACGGAAATCAGAGAAAGCTGCTTTACAAAAAAACAATAGAAAAAATAGAGTGTGTAGTCTTTTTAGATTCAAATAAATACAATTCTCAAAGCAAAATAAATCCACTTCTTTTGGATTCATACACACACACAGTGATACACACGACAAACATACTCTCACTTTCACATTTTTGTTACACATGAAACATTTAAAACCACCGCTCGCTCGTCTTTATCTTACAAGGTATTTCCTTGGACTGTTTTAGTCTTCTTCAAAAACACAAATCCTTTGTCCCTTGGCTTCATTCAAAAATGACACTCGGTCACGTCCTGAAGAGATCACACAGCATTCTTTTGTGTCTCTATTTGCTCTTTTTTTGCTGGAAGTATTGCTTTAAGAAATACATTTTGGTCTTCTTTTCGGATGGTTTCAGTGACAGAATCTCTAATGGAAGCAATTTTTCATTTTCCTCTGGGCTTCACAAAACTGGATTTGCACGCGTCATTGAAATCAAAGTGTAAATGGGGCTTTTCTTGGAGTCTTTTGACTCCACTTTGACCAAAAACCCTACTTCATGAGGAATGTATGCATTCGACAAAGACTTTCTCTTCTGCGTGTGTGCTCTTCCTTTCCCAAGATGTCTAAGACAGGATACGTGTTAGTACTCATTGTCTGTTTCTTTTTCCATGCATGCACGTCTACGTGGTTGGATGAGAGGTATAAAAGTGTGTACCGGTGAGTCTGTGACAACATTAACGTTCTGACGCACTCAGACGCAGATTTCAATGGGCGTAGCCACCAGCATGCGGCCGCCGGGCGAACTGTTTTCTCGCGGCATCCGATCGTAACTGTTGGTGGACGACACAGAGCTGTTGGTGGAGACGGACACGAAATGGTGGCCACCGCCTGGTTCCATCATCCCGCCCTTTGCCCCACCACCGCTTCCCCTGTCCACCACCACCGGAGACATGGGAGAGAGGGGTGACAGCGGGGAGAGAGGAGATAAAGTCTGCTGCTTCATCCTCTCCACAAGGAGCTCTTCGTCTTCTTCCCCGGACGAGGATGATGAGATAGTGCCGTTCACCTCTCCCCGCACCCCTCCTCCACCTCCCCCTCCTGCTCCTCCTCCACCGCCGCCGCCAACCCTCTCCCCACCACCTCCGGCATTGCTGTTGCCATTGTTGTTGTTGTTCTCCGCGTCCAGCATCCAGGAGTGGCTGAAGTACCCGAAGACCTCTTTGACGGAGCAGCGGCGGTCCTGTTCCACAGAGAGCAGTCGGCGGAACATGCGGAGGGCCTGCTCGGTGAAGCGCCTCCACTGGGAAGGCACCGTGTTCGTCCTCCTCCTCTGCCAGCGGATGAACTCCTGGTAGAAGGAGTCGGAGGGCAACGCCTTCTCCCAGGGGAAGTTGCCAGTCAGCATGCAGAAGAGCAGCACGCCGAAGGCCCAGACGTCAGTGCTGTAGTCCACGCAGAAACCCTCATGGCGGGACACGTCGCAGAGCTCCGGGGCCGTGTAGGGGATGGTGCCACTCACCTGGAAGGGAAACTCAACAGGTCACCAACATGGTCGAAAAGAGAATTGGAGGTCATCGACAGAAATGGTACTCACTCTTTTCACTGGTGAGCCAGCTCTGCGGGTCATGCCGAAGTCAGACAGCTTGACCTTGCGGCACTCTCGGTCAAAAATTAGGATGTTTTCAGGCTTGATGTCCCTGTGGACCAGCTTCTTGCAGTGCAGGTAGTCCAGAGCGATGGCTACTTGGTGCACACAACGCTTTGCCACTGCCTCAGGAAGACCGACCTGAAGGAATGAACAGAGGGAAATCAAAGTATTACACGCAATGAATACAGTATATACACCAGTACACACAAAGAAATAGCGATGTTGCGATCACAACAGTTAATGCAAATTGAACCCATCTGCAATTTTGTCCAATCACTGTGAGTTTCCAACAATTTTGTCCAATCATAGTAGTTTCCTGTGCAAAATGGTGAGCCATTCATCACCAAACTCACTCCCTTGTTTCTAGTTGTGATAATGCAGACATGTGCAACAGAAACGTCTCACATTTACCCTCCAAAACGATTTTATTTGTTGTTGCCTTTAATTGCAAAAACTGCCCAAAAACATTGCAACAAGCATAGCAATTTATTGGAAAATCTGCTGTTAAATCAAGTATTTTAGACTGCAATGATCCCCTAAACATAAATGTGTTGTATCTAATGCTATAGGAGGCAAGTCTGCAAATGTTCAGAATCTTTATGTCACTCCTGGAGCGCCAACCCAATGTCAGCTGGTTCCACAGAATTCTTCAAACTGATCTAACAATTGAACTGTATTTTAGCCTCTTAAGAACTTGTCGAGATGGATGTTTTTGCAAAAGCCCTTTACCCAAAAGCATCGATGCAAAGAAGCAACAACCAGAATAACAGACAGGATGGAGCACCTGTGGAGGAATGATATCAAAGAGGTCTCCTGCCAGAGCGTACTCCTGCGCGAACACGTAGTACTCGTCTGTCTCGAAGGCGATGCCGAACATGTTGATGATGAAAGGGCAGGGAGACAGGTAGAGGGAGATGCTGTACTCCCGCAAGAACGACTTCAGCTTGGTTGTCTTCTTCTTCAGGAACTTCAGGGCCATTTTTGTACCTTTTGGGACAGAATGGAAGAAAATTTGGTTTTCTTTTGTTTATTTGGAGCAGCAGTTTAGTACTGTTCGTTAGTATGTTTGTGCGTGTTTGTCTCCCCTTGTCTCCCCTTACCTCTGATCTTGTGGATGACCAGGTCCACCTTGCCGTAGGTACCCTTGCCCAACTCCCTGATCACCTCGTAGTACTTGTTGACCTCCAGCCTCTCCAGGTTCTGGGCTGCAATCAGCTGCAGCTCGTCCAGGATGTCCATGTTGGCTCGAGACACCAGCGGAGAGGAACTCATGCTGGGGACCGCTTCAGGGGACCGACCAGTGAGGAAAAAAACTGGGGAACGGATGCTCAGGCAGGACAAGAGCAGCTAACACCTGGTGTCACTGTAGAGAAACAAGAGAGGACACACATTTGTAAATTTGTGTATGATAATATTTTTTATTCTTCTCCTTATTTTTATTATTGTAATAACAAATGATGGAATTTCACCTGTAGGGGGTGCTATAGTAAAAATATACTCTTAAACCAAGTCAAGGTTTTCTTAAAATTTTGCACAAGTCATCATGGTACAACACCAAATATACTGATCATAACCGGTTGTCAGCACAGATTAGAAAAGGTATTTTCTGACAATGTCACATTCTGGTGCAATCTACCACCAGAGAATGCACATTCTAGTTTATTATTGTTGTTGCTGTTTTAGAATGACATCAGATTAGATTATTCAAGAACAGATTTATATAACTTAATGCCATTTATATGCAATAGAAATTACTATAAAAATGATAAATAATCATTATTATTAGCAGTTGCTGCATTATTCATCACAGAAGTTACAAACTGCAAAATATATAAAATATGTGAAATGCTAATAAACACAAGCACAAACATTCAGACAGTCACATCACATTTAAAATAAATTGTATGTGCTAGATTAACACTGAGGTATATGTGGTTATGTAATTATTAATTAATAATTAATATGATAATAAAAACATGATGAATAATGAACAAGATATGAGATTATAGGTGTGTTTGACAAGATGACAACGCTGTGTTTGTCCTTGTTGGTTACATTCATCATCGCTGTGTCCAGAGTGTGGAGGTACGGGCACATGGGAGACACATACAGGATGCACAACTTACACATGTACCATCATGGGATGTAGATAGGAGAGTGTGTTCGTGGTGTTTCAAGGTCAGCGACGGACAACAAGCCGTCGACGTTGCGGCTCACAGTCTGCTCTGATCTGCAGTGTGATAGTCACTGAAAATGCTAATTATCTGCAGTGAAGGCTTAAGTAATTCTAAATGCTGCTCGCCAAGGGGGATGCCAGAGCTGAGTCACACAAACACACACACACACACACACACACACACACACACACACACACACACACACACACACACAGCCAATAACAGTCCTTTCGAGCAAATCCATTCCCTGCTGCAGTGTGATTATTCTTAGTGATTGCTTTCTTTTTTTCTTCCTGAGCAGCGAGACCTGCCAAGTCCTGACCCTCTATAGATCCAGGCACATGCGAAACTTGCGCACACACACACACACACACACACACACACACACACACACACACACACAGACTCATTACATAACCTGAAGTGCTGGAAAGAAGCCTCTCTGCATCTCTGAAGAAACACTTGTGAATTTGCCTTCCTGTCGTGTCACTCAGGGAAAGCAGCAAAACTTAGACTGCCGTATTTATCCTCAACACACATCCCCATCACTAATAACATTAATCTGATTCATCCTTCACAGGGTTAAATCTCTTAGTCTCGGGATGCAGAAAATAATATTCTGATGTGGACCAAGCAGCTGCAAGCAGTCATAACCTGCTTCATCACATCACAGTCACTAGCTATGAGACACAGCACACACACACACACACACACACACAAACTACAGAATGCTGAAGTACCTTGGCATCCCCTCCACAGGCCCCTGTGTTCCTCTGTGGGGGTGCAATCTTTTTTGTGTGAAGCGGACAGGAAGAGCAGTTGACACCAGTAGCAGGTGAGGAGGGATGAGTCAGTTTGGGTGATGGATGGCAGCGCAGAGAGGACGTACTGCAGCTCGCTCTCTGCCTTCAATAAAAGCTCCGGGACACATGCGATAAACACACACGCACACACACAGAGGAGGCAGGGGGCGGGAGGGGGGGGGCAGCAGGGGGTTGTAAACAGAGAAGGCCATTTGTTTCTGCCCGGGGTCAGCAGTGCTTACTGTAGCACTGCAGGATACATGCAGCACTGTGTGTGTGTGTGTGTGTGTGTGTGTGTGTGTGTGGAGGTGGTTTTTAACTGGTACACAGTTAAAACAATAATCCTGAATATCTTGTTTGACTTCATGCATCACTTAAAGGTGCGGCATTTTTAAACATCAGCTTGTTGTCAAGGGAACAGTGATGCCTCAGTTCAGTCAGTCCGTAGCATCTGTCTCACTCTGCACTCTCCCTGCTGCTGTTATTTGTCTTTTGGACCAAAGAACACGGGCCAACAATCTGCAATTTTACTCTTTCTGAGGAAATATCAGCTTTAGGAACTGTAATGTTGCATACATTTGCTCTTATGTGCTGTATTTTACAAGATTGTATTATTTATCAGCTTGTGCAACATTGAAACTCATGTTTGCATGTTTCTAGATTAATATTTAGTGCTCATATACTTTTTACACCTTTATTTATTGATTTGTTTTAAAGCTTCCAGGGCAGTCATGTCAGAAGAATTTCACTGCCTAGTTGAACCTGATGCTACTCTGCACAGACAACGAATAAAAAGCTTTTAAAATCCATCCACCAGCTGCCGTGACCAAAAACTCCTGTGCTCACCTCTACAGTTAGTATGTTCAGGTGCACACGCAACATCGTACTGCATGTGTGGATTGTCATGGTAAAAGCCGTAGCTGCATGTGTAGCCGCTGCACCATAGCTCACGTACACCACCTAAAAATGAGTATGAGAGAGACCACATGGACACTGTAAGAACTGTGATTGATCAGCCTGAACTGCTGCATCTTTCTAGTGCTGGTGGGGATCATTAAAGCTGCAGTAGGTAACTTTTATAAAAAATAACTCATATTTGCTAAAACTTTCACTATATTCTGACAGTAGTACATGGGACAGATAATCTGTGAAAAAAGAGGGTTGCTCTGGCTCCTCCTAGTGCTCCTATGGTATTGACAAGAATCCACCGGGCCTGGACAAAAACAACCAATCAGAGTCGAGAACGATAGTTGATTGTTGCGCCTCCTTCCCAGGTGTCCCAAAATGTTAACGCTCTGGTGACCTAAAGTCTTGGTATTTGACGACCCGTAATAAAGTGAATGTAAGATGATTACTTTGGCTGTGTTTAAACATCAATAGTGTATTATTCAATAGCTACAAGCTAGATAAACCAAAAATGGTCTGCCTACATTTACCAGCAAACCCACAAGCTTATTATCTGGGTAATCAGAGTAAGACATATTAAAGAGTGGATGCGAGACAGCTCACACACTGGAGATGCCGAGATATGGAATTAAATTGTGGAGATGTACCAATCTGGTTCTTTTCTGTATTTAATACACTGAGAATCATAACTGTAGATGTGTCGTTCCACTCAGGGTTTGGAGGGTCTTTTTTTTTTTTAAATAAGTGGGAACTGATCCAAGCTCTAACAAAAGCTGATGAAACCATTAGAATGTGGGCTTCCAGAGCTTTATGTAAATGTGTACAACTGTTTGGAGATAAACCCAGTTCTCCTCTATTCTGTCCTTTGTTTTTAATAAATGTACCCAGGATTCCCTGGAGAGCAGTGTTGATACTGAGTGAATTAAAGTAAACTGAATTGAAAGTCTGATGATCTTAACTATGTTAAGCTGATAATCAATGTAAGCATATCCAGATCAACACACCTACACTCTGCTCAGCCATTTCATTTACAGACCAACAGCCTGATTTCATTTGGTGTTATAAATGTACACACGTGCCAGAGAGATGCAGCCTTCTGTATTCAGCTGCAGTAACACCACAAGAAACAGGACATTCTGTTTCATCGGTGTGAAAAACAACACTAGAATAACATTTGGACCAGATGCAAAAAAAAAAGACAGTAACATATTTTATGATTAATCCAATCAGATTCAACTTTGAAAATTCTGACCTGTACAGTATTTCATCTGGTTGGTTACAGTAATCAGTGGTTGTCTCTAAATATGATGTTACACATTGCACCCACAGTTCTGATAAGTAGATTTGGTGGTTTAACAAAATTATTTTACAGCATTGTTATATGAACACCGTCAGTAGTTTATACTCTGCAGGGTTTGTCTGTTGCTCTTTGTAAAGTTACCTCAAGCGAGAGAGAGAGAGCACCTTTGGTCGAGCTACCTAGAGAATGAATAAGGAATATTTTCGGATTGTTCCACAGCGGTTACGTATGAAAGCACAAGAAACACAGCCACTCCTCTGCACAACCCTGCGGGAGGTGCCATATTTCTGGACCCACAGCTCCTTATGCACCCATGACACAGACAGAGAGCAGAGAACAGTCAGACAGAGAGAGAGAGAGAGTGTGTGTGTGTGTGTGTCTAGAACAGACACTCCCAGCCGACGTCACACACCCTCTCTCCATATCTTTTTGTTCTCAGCTCTGTGCTTGCAGCTCAGATGAACATATGTGTTTGTGTGTGTTTTTACCACAAAGGGAGCTGCATCTGTATTTATATAGAAACTGCATTAGACTCATAGCTGAATGAGTCATCAGGTCAGGACAAATGTCGGCTCTCATGTAGAGAGAGGATGTCTGCTGTCCCACTCTGTGTGTGTGTGTGTGTGTGTGTGTGTGTGTGTGTGTGTGTGTGTGTGTGCTGCGTCACATAGGCTGAGTGTTAACAATAGATGTAACTCAATGCACAACTAGCTGCATTTCACATCCTTGGCAGAAACAACTGCAGAGACAATGATTGGACAGCACATTTGCAGGGCTAAATTCTGATTGGTTAAAAAAAACAGGATGTACACACTGTCCTGAAACAATGCATTTACCCTGCAGCTCATCCACCTTAAAGGTACAACATGTGTCAGTTTTTAAACATCAAGTCATTTGAGATCTCCTTGTGTAGTATCTAAGCTGGAGATGACAGCTATCTCACACCACTGTCACTGTTCGTATTGTTACTGTTTAGAGTAAGACCACTCATACAAATACATACAAAACAAAAAAATCAACTCTGAAATATTGGGCTGTGTATTATTATATTATTATTGTGGCAAGAATCTGGCTATGTAATATATATCACGATACAGGCTCAGTATATTGTGATACTATGAGCACTGTCACAGTATAAAGAACACACCACCATTGGCTTAAAATCTGAGTTAAAACA